CCATGTATCATGCAAGAACAAAGTGAGAATCCTTCAGATATGCTGATCAAGGTGGTACCAAGAGACAAGTTCGAGCTATGCAAAGAACTTATCGGTATGCATTCAAACTAGAAACCCGATATTATCTCCTTCCAGTGAATAGGTCTGGAGGGGGAGATTTGTGGGGTCCAACCCATTATTAGAATAAGAAAGAAGTATAATAGGATGTGCCTATGGAAAGCCTCGGCAGAGAGCCTTGGAGCCAAAGTTTAGATTTGTGGAGGAGAATTAATAATTCTCCTGTAGCATCCTTGGAGACTAAGTTTTGCTCTTCTATAAAAGGGGGATCTCTTTCACTTCTTAAGACACACCAAGAAAGGGAGAAAGAAAGAGTGAGGCATCACAGATAGGGTATAAGAAAATAGTCTGTGAGGAAAACAAAGAGCGTGAGCGATATTGTAGGTGAGGTGGAAATATCAAAAGAGTGTTATTTCTTTTGAGTATTGTAGTTGTCTTTGGAGTATTTTAATCGGACCTGCAAAGTGTAAAATTACTATCCATAGTGATATCAGTTGCTGCTCTCGGGGTCGTGGTTTTTTCCCTTATTTGAAAGTGTTTTTCACGTAAAAATCTTGGTATCGTTGTCGCTCTTTTATTCTTGTTGATTACTGTATCTATGTGGTACATTATTATTCCGTTTTTGTTACCGTGAATATTATTTTTGTGGGAGATTTATTCCCAACACTATCTAATATGCCTAAGGGGAGGCAGCCTACCAATAGAATAATGGATTTAAGGTATTCTCTTACCATATGAGTTATTTGCATTTTGCACTACTCAATTATTTGATTTACACCGTATCTCCTTATTTTTTACTATTTACTCATTCACTTATTCATTTGTAGGCAAAACTATTTGTGGTTCATTTTGGGTTCAGTATATTATTATTATTATTATTATTATTATTATTATTATTATTATTATTATTATTATTATTATTATTATTATTATTATTATTATTATTATTATTATTATCGTATTATTTTATCCTTTAATTTTAACATGTTGTTTCCTTTACTTCGATTATCTTATTGCTTCATTATTTTGATGTTGATATTGTTCTTGTCTTCATTATTCTCAACATAGCTTATTCATTATTGTTTTCTTTTTTAAACCTGCCTTAAAATGCTTTTTTGGTCTATCAGAAATAGCTTCTACCTCCATAGAGTGTCTTCATACACACTATTCTTCCAGTACTCTACTTATGAATATACATTGGATATTGTTATTGTATTTAATGAGGAATAAAATAGGAATAGTATTATTATATTTAGGAGAAAAGGTCAAATATAGCCATGTAGGTGTTCATAAAAATCCGAAAAATCGAACTAAACTGAAAATCAAACCAAACCGACCAAAAAAAGATACTTTTTAAGTTTGGTTTGGTTTTGGTTTTAATAAAAAAATAACCGAAAAAATCGAACCAAACCAACTATAAAAGTAACTATTTAAATTTATTATTACACCTATATATATGTATATTTTTATATAAAGTTTCTAAAATTTTATGGTACATATTAGTCATTTGTATTTTTAATCTAATTCTTTGCTATTATAATAATCTATATCTTTACCTTTATATTCTAGTTTGATTGGTAATTTTCTTTTGCTAAGTACAAGAATTTATTTCATGTGAAAATAATCGATTTTTAATTAAGTACTTAAATTATTTATCACTATTTGATTCAATTATCATCAATATATATTAGTAAATAATAGGTTTCTCAAAAAGCAATTGGTTTGATAGTGTTATGTTGAAAATGTAGTCGCCGGAATATACGTTTGGTAGTGTATGTCTCATATTTAAAAAAAATCTGATAAATAACCGAAAAATATAAAAAACCGACTAAAACCAAATCGATAAAAATAAACTTAATCGATTTAGTTTGATTCCAATATTTAAAAAACCAACTTACTCGATTTGATTTCCTTCTAGGGACAAACCCACCCAAACCAAACCATGGATCTCACATGGCCGCACAGGATTAAGTCGACCGATTTCCCTTTTTTCAAACTCGGTTCACTTTAAAAAAATATTGTCCAACCCAAAATCCACCCCCTTATATATCAAACCATTGCCAACATACAAGACCCACATAAACACTGCAGCCGATACAGCACCCAATAGCAGCATCTAAACCTTCTTTCTAGGTGCAAATTTGCAGATCCAAAGAAATAATCCTTTTTTCTTATTTTAGTGGTAGGAGGAAGCACAACTATTTTAGCTGCCATCAAGTCAAACTTCCATATCATACGCCCGTAGGAAACAAATAATTCAACTGATCAAAATAATAATCCACAAACAGGGAGGGCAAATCTGATGAATTTATGAAAAAATCTGAACTCAATTGAGAGAAAAAAAATTAAAAATTTGATAGTAAAATTTTATGATATAAATCTGCAAGCATATGATCTAAAACTTTCTTGTCAAAACAACTTCTGAAATCTTCTAAGAAGTTAAAGGTCTCTCAGTTTACTTCTTCAATTTGTAACCGCCTGAGACGCTGCTACGTCAGCGTTAGACACTGGTGCAGGTGTGCAGCGGTCAGAGAGAGAGAACATGGCGCACAAAAGTTGCCAGAAAATTCTTCGGCAAGATTCTGACCATACTCTGAGCTCGGAGTTTCAGCTACTATTTCGTCTCCCTTCCGGATCTGATAAACAAAAAGAAAATATGAGAAAAAGAGTAATGGCTCGCCGAGAAAATATATTTTCAGTCAGATCCAGTAGAATTCGAACCCAAAACTTTCAGATCTCCGGCCTCTTGTATATATGTCTCTAGATCTGTGTATAAATGTGTGTGTAGGTATAGAGAAAGGGGAAAAGAAGGTGTGAGATGACAAATCAGAAGCTTCTCCATGCTTTCCGGTGAGTTCGCTGTTACGAAAGAGAAGAAAACTTCAACATTATTATTCTTAGTTCTTTATTATGTATTGGAGTCCTTAAGTTTAATAGTTGTCAGTTTAGTCTTTTCTTATTTATTATATAGTCCCTAAAAGCTGGCATTGTTATATGTTGCCAGGTGTCTAGTTTGTTAGAGTCATTTTGCTATTTATTCCCTGTATGTCAGAGTCTAGAATCATGCTGAATGAAATGTCATCTTTTTCATTTTAATTCTGTCCTATTTTACATTCTTCTTGGTTTTGCTTGCATACCCGTTACATATTGGTATCAAAGCGGTGCCGGCCTGGTATTTTCCGGCAATGGTAGAGTCTCAGAAAATGAAAGTAACTAATGATGGGTGGCAGAAATTTAAAACCCAGCTTCAGGCGTATATGGTGGATACTCAGCAGAGGATGGCTAGGATGGAGGAAGTACACGCTCAACAACATGAGGAGAGTAATCGGAGGTTTGAGGCATTGTTGGCTCAAATGGAATTTGACCGGCGGGCAGAGTCGAACGCGGCAACTCGAGCTCATGCACTTCTCTTACAAGGAGGGCCATCTGCTGAACAAGGTGAATCCTCCGTCGGGTGTAACCTCCGGTCAACGGCATCGGTTTCCCCTCTTACACCGACTGCTACTCTTAATTTTTCACAGGTTAGTAGAGGTATGACATTTACTCCAACTCCCTTCAATCCTAGATCTACCACTGTCACTGTTTCTCCAACTGTCCCTACGTCCACCATTATTCCTATTTCATCTATTGTTGCTCGTACTGAAGCTTTGCAACCAACCTTTACAACTCACCTTCTCTTTTACCCTAGCATCACCAACTTCGCTTCCTATCCCTACACTTCATCGACCTCTCTTACTACTATTTCTACCACCAATTTCTCACCCATGAACTATCCTTCACATAAACCTTATCACTTCTCTTCTAGGCCTAACCCAACGATAATTACTCCACCACTGATTACCTCTTTTACCCAGCCCAACAACAGTTTACCCGCCCAAAATATGATGTCTCAGCCTAGTTTTCAAACACCTGCAGTCATAAATAACCAAGTCAGTTCCTCAAAATATTAACTGTCATTTCCTGAGTTCGACATCAATAATCCTAGAGAATGGATAAGTAGGTGTCAGAATCTTTTCCACTTTTATCACATTCCACAATAGTCATGGATGAGTTATGTGACGGTGCACATCAAAGATAAAATTGACACATGGTTTGATGTTTATATGATGGACAAGGGTGGAAATGTCTCCTAGGAAACATTTTGTTTGGATGTTTGTCATCGTTATGGGAACATTCGACCATTAGACGTCGTTAACGAGTTTAATAGGTTGGAACAAAAAGCAGATGTTGATAGTTATCAGGCAAGGTTTGATGAGTTGCATTTCTACATGTTGCTCATTAATTCATCTTTGAATGAAGCATACTTTGTTACTTGTTTTATTATTGGCCTTAGATCTGATTTACAATCGATGGTCAGGGCTTTTAATCCTCAAACACTGCTTGATGCCTCAGAAGTGGCTAAGTTGCACGAAAAGACCCTTGCAGCCATCTACAAAAATTTCCAGCCAAAGTACTATGTTACCTACCTCAAAGATGATAGTCCAATAGCCAAAAATGATAGCTCAATACCCAAGACCCTTACTGCCCCAGCTCCGGCACCAAGGGCACTCCCTGGTGTTACCATTAAAAAGCCTTTACCCAAAAATGTCTCTTTGGATACACTTCGTGACCTTAATTTGTGTTTCAAGTGTCACGATAAATATTTACCGGGCCATCAATGTAAGCCCAAGTTGCAGTTGATGATTGGTGAAATGGAGGTGGGAGAATACTCAGGGGTGGAAAAGGAGGCCCAAGAAGAGGAAGCTGTGGTTGAAGGGGAGCTACAGGCCCAAGAGCAAGGTGAACAAGCAGAAATTTCATTAAATGTGTTGTTGGGCCTGGATTACACATCGAATACTATTAAAATTATGGGTAACATCAAACGAATCCCATTGATTATTTTAATCGATAGTGGTTCGACCCATAGTTTTATTGATCCTCAAGTGCCTAAAGGTTTGAGCTAAATGGGTGTGCTCATTATGGGTCTCTTGAGAGTTGCTAATGGGCATGAGCTGTTTTGCAGTCATTTTAGCCCATCATTCATATGGGAAATGGGGAATAATCAATTTCATTTTGATTTAAAGTGGCTGCAAGTGAAGGGTTGTGATATTGTGCTGGGAATGGATTGGATCAATTCAGTTGCACCTCTTATTTTGCATACTAAACCACATAGTATCTCTTTTATGAAGGATGGTCGCTTTTTAACATTGATTGACAGTAGAGATGCTATAAAAATAGCTCCTGCCAAGGCCAAGTCCATTCAGAAATTGCTCAAGAGCAGTTACTGTAGCTTTTTAGCCCTAGCCCAATTCAATGCCTTGGAAGAAGTAGCTAAGACCTTTCTTGATCAAGCCCAAATGGAACAGCTGGTGTCCAAATTCGAGGACTTATTCAAAGAACCAAGTGGTCTTTCTCCTAAGCGTGACTGTGATCATGCAGTTGATTTGGTTCCTGGTGCTACTACAGTTAACCAAAGGCCATATCGATACTCATTTAAGCAAAAGAACACGATCAAAAAAATGGTCCAAGACATGCTAAAGCAGAATACTCTGGTTCCCAACTCCTCTCCTTTTGCTTCACCTGTTATATTGGTGAAGAAAAAAGGACTCATCTTGGCGCATGTGTGTTAATTACCGCAAGTTAAATGATATTACGGTGAAGAATAAATATCCAATTCCGGTAGTGGAAGATTTGTTAGACGAATTGAATAGAGCTTTCTTATTTTCAAAGCTTGACCTGCGGTCTGGCTATCATCAAATATGCATGGAGGGGGACGAGTTCAAAACAGCATTTCGAACTCACCATGGGCTATGGTAATTCAAAGTAATGCCTTTTGGGCTTACAAATGCTCCAGCCACGTTCCAGGCCTTAATGCACAAGAGTTTTGGGCCTTATCTTCGCAAATTCGTGTTAGTGTTCTTCGACGACATTCTTGTCTAAAGTGTTTCTGCCTTAGAACATTTGACTCATCTTGAGAAGGTTTTTGAAGTATTACAAGCTAATCAGCTCTTTGCTAAGCGCTCTAAATGCAATTTTGGACGTGATAAGATTGAGTATCTCGACCATATAATTTCTAGTGGAGGGGCAAGTACAGATGAGTCCAAAGTCGAAGCAATACTCAATTGGGCAGGCCCAGTAATATTAAAGGGCTTAGAGGATTTTTGGGCCTAACAGGTTACTATAGGAGGTTCATAAAATATTTTACAATCATCAGCATGCCTCTTACTAATTTACTAAAGAAATGGGCTTTTGTTTGGAGTGAGGAGGCTATGCAGGCATTTGAGGCCCTAAAACAAGCAATGGTCCAAGCACCTGTACTGGCCCTGCCTAATTTCTCTCAGCCTTTTGTCGTAGAAGTGGATGCTTGTGGAACATGAGTGGGGGCTGTTTTGATGCAGCAAGGTAGACCTTTGGCTTTCCTTAGCCAAGCTTTAAGCTCAAAGCATCTGGGCTTATCTACCTATGAAAAAGGACTGGTGGCACTACTGTTAGCCATTGAAAAGTGGCGACGCTATCTACAGCCAAAGCTCAAAGCATCTAGGCTTATCTACCTATGAAAAAGGACTGGTGGCACTACTGTTAGCCATTGAAAAGTGGCGACGCTATCTACACCCAAAGCTCAAAGCATCTAGGCTTATCTACCTATGAAAAAGGACTGGTGGCACTACTGTTAGCCATTGAAAAGTGGCGACGCTATCTACACCCAAAGCTCAAAGCATCTAGGCTTATCTACCTATGAAAAAGGACTGGTGGCACTACTGTTAGCCATTGAAAAGTGGCGACGCTATCTACAGCCATCTCATTTTATCATTAAGACAGACCACTTCAGTTTGAAGTTTTTGAAAGATCAAAGGGTGACAACCTCTCTTCAACATAAAGGTATAACTAAGCTTTTGGGGCTTAGTTACGAAATTCAATTCAGAAAAGGAGTAGAAATTATTGCTGCTGACGCATTGTCACACAGATTTGATGAAGAGGCAGAATGCAAAAGTATTTCAGTAGTGTATCCTTTGTGGGTTCAGGAAGTCTTGGCTAGCTATGAAGGGGACTCAGAAATCATGGCAGCTATGGCTAAACTGGCACTAGATCCTAATGTTATTCCTAATGTATCCTTGCAGCAGGGCTCATTGAGGCATAAGGGTCAAATTTGGGTAGGAAGCACTGGACAGAAGAGACAACAATTAATTGAAGCCATGCACACCACAGCGTGGGGTTGACATTTAGGGGCTCATGCCACCTTGCAAAGATTGAAAGCTCTTTTTTACTGGCCCAAGCTCTCAAAGGATGTGAAACAGATGGTATGAGAATGTGACACTTGCCAAAGGAACAAGGGAGAAAATATGGCTTATCCAGGATTACTTCAGCCTCTTCCTGTCCCTTCAAGGGCATGGGAACACATCACAATGGATTTCATTGAAGGATTACCAAAATCCGGGGGAAATAAGTAATATTTGTGTTAGTGGATCGTTTTACCAAGTATGCTTATTTTATAGCTGTATCCCATCCCTATACGGCATCACAAATTTCTCAATTGTTCCTTGACAATATCTGTAAATTACATGGCAATCCAGTTTCTATTACTTCTGATAGAGACCCGATTTTTACAAGCCTATTTTGGAAAGAGTTGTTAATGGATTGGGGGTACAAATTAAGCTCAGCTCAGCATACCATCTGCAGACGAATGGGCAAACGGAAAGGCTTAACAGGTGTTTGGAAGGTTACCTTCGATGCATGACTGGTCACAAGCCTGCAGCTTGGAGCAAATGGTTAAGCTTGGCAGAGTTCTGGTACAATACAACTTTTCATTCAGCGATTCAAATGTCTCCCTTCAAGACGTTATATGGCTATGATCCTCCCCAACCTACATTTGAGCTTGTGGCTAAATCCAAGGTGAACTCAGTTGATGAATTGTTGCGAGAAAAGTAGATAATGAGTCGAGTTTTACAAGAAAATTTAAGGAAGGCTCAAGAGAGAATGAAGTTGTATGTCGATGCAAAGAGAACAGAAAGACATTTTCAAGAAGGCGATTGGGTGTTTCTTAAACTCCAGCCATATCGACAACTTTCTGTGGCTGTTCGTAGAAATTTGAAATTAGCTTCAAAATACTACAGACCTTACCAAATTGTCAAGAAAATCGGGCATGTCGCGTATTAGCCGAAGCTACCTGTCGGGTCCAAAATTCATCCAGTTTTTCATGTCTCCCAGTTGAAGAAAAAAGTTGGAAATCAAGTGGTGCCATCCATAGAACCCCCAATTTGTAACAACAATTGATAGATTTTGGTGGAACCTGTGGCAATTTTGGATCGGAAGATGGTGAAAAAGAAGAATAAGGCAACTGTGGAGGTGTTAGTGCAATGGGCAAATCTATCTCCAGAAGAAGCAACTTGGGAGGACTACAATTTTCTCTGTTCTCAGTTTCCAGAGTTTCAACCTTGACAATGATGTCAAGGTTCTTCAATGGGGAATGGAATGTTACGAAAGAGAAGAAGACTTCAACATTATTATTCTTAGTTCTTTATTATGTATTGGAGTCCTTAAGTTTAATAGTTGTCAGTTTAGTCTTTTCTTATTTATTATATAGTCCCTAAAAGCTGGCATTGTTATATGTTGCCAGGTGTCTAGTTTGTTAGAATCATTTTGCTATTTACTACCTGTATGTCAGAGTCTAAAATCATGCTGAATGAAATGTCATCTTTTTCATTTTAATTCTGTCCTATTTTACATTCTTCTTGGTTTTGCTTGCATACCTGTTACATTCGCCAATGGAGATTCCAGCTACGGTCATAACAGTGAGGCAAGAGAGGAGGAAAAGAGGAGAGAGAGAAGCAGTAGGGGTGAACTTTGGGTCGGATAATGAATTCTTTTAAGTAAACCGGGTTAAAGAAATGAAAATGAGTCAATTTAATCATGTGCAACCACGTGACATACGGTCATATATTTGTTCTATATTATAACAGGGGTATATTGAAACTATTTTTGACCGTACAAGGATATATATTTATAAACGAAAAAGATTAAAAGTGCCCCTAGGCCCAGCGTATTCAATTTGTCTTGCAAATAATCTTAGTTTACCTATTGGCTCATGGATAACCTTACCCATATCATTCTTAAATTTACCTTTTGCCACTTGCAGACCACTTAAATTTGCGGCGTATAAAGCTTCCACGTGTAACCTCCAGTTCATCAAAAGACCAACCAACTCGCCCAAAAACACAATCCGCTCCATAAAACCCAAACCCAGCAATTTTAACATAACCCATGTCCTGATTCCTTCTTCCTCATTTTCTTTCAATTTCCCCTCTTCTTTTCCCCAAAGTTCAGCCATGACATAGAATAAGCAGAACGTCCAAATACTTAGAATAGCAATTGGCCCAAAATCTTGGACCAAAAAAGTTGAGAAGTTATCAGTAAGAACTGTAGGTGAAAACTGAGATGCATATTTTCCCAACATTTGTCAGGAGATGGGACGCAATAGTATTTTAAGAACACTAATATTCGAGTGTACAATGAGTCAAAGCTCATTTAACTCAAATGAATTCTACAAGGTAAATTTTTGTTGCCTTCATGAGTAATTGAAAATGAAGCTGATTTAAGTTCCAATAAAAGAAAATCCAATTACACTTAAAAGGCAAACAAATTCAAGGTTCCACCTAGGAACATGCATGTCTAAGAATAAAAAATAAACTCTTAAAAAATAGGATATGTGCGTGGATTACTAAGTTGAAGAACGAATAGGAGAATCTTAGTACATAGCTACCTAAATTTTCACATAATTGATAAGTCCCTCATTTCCCTTCCCCTATACCCTTATATAAAACTCCTAAATTCTTTTTGTTTCTTACAATCTTGTCCCCCGTTTCCCTTCCCCTACCCTTATGCAATAAATTCTTTTTGTTTATGTTTATCCAAAAAATCGGATAACAATTGAATCTATACATGATTACAAGGATATGTGATCTAATTTGATACAAATTGAGAAATCAAACTTAATATGGAAAAATAAATAGAACAATAAATGCAAACCATGCAGATTGAACAACTTAAGTCTCACAAAGTTAACTTCCTTCGAATTTAGACGTGATATTATTGAAGTCAGAATAATATGAACAAAGCTGAAAAAATAGTATGTAGTTCTTTCAAGTATGTTACAATGTGCCCCTATGAATTATCAAGTCCTCCTTATATATTGGGGGAGATCTTCCTTTTACGACATTATTTTATCAAAAACATAAGTCCTTGATTTTGTAGACCGTTGGCCACTTTTTTGACTTAATCCCGTGATTTCTGCCATAATGATTGGTTAATGGCGAGAATCATGGATCCTTGTCGGATGAGTTGGCGAAACTTTTCTCCGAGGCCGCTAGAAGCAGGATCGGTGGTGCCTTCGGTAAACTCGAGGGCAAATATGATGGTCTTGTAGAACTTCGAACTTCAATATTGAGCTCGGTTTCATATGTAACTTCGATCTCTAATAGATTATTCGAGCATGGTCTATTGTTTCAGATGCTCGATCAAGCATCGAGCTCGGTTTTACCCGTATACAGATAGTCCCCTCATTTTTTGGAGAGTAAATGATGAAAAACGATATGAACCCTCAGTCCTCACTTCGATAAATCATGACGACGAATTCATGACATAGGTGATAAGAATAGTGGAAACAACCCGTCAGTCCAGTCTTCGAGGCATTAAATGTGTGTCAGTCAATAGTTAGCCATCTCGAGATATGCACCACCGTGATTTGAACCGCCATTTGGGAACACTATAAATACCCTTCAAACCATCTATTAGAACTTTTACATTCAAATTATTCTTGTGTTCTAAGAAAATTTCACCTTCTTCATCTTCTAGTTTTCTAACTGTTAACCTCAAAACTTCCCTTACCAACAATTTCTTTTCTTCATTTTTTACAAAAAAATGGTAAAGACTTCAAAGTCTGTTCCTAAAAAAGAAGCACCTTTTTCTTCAAAACCTTCTGAAAATGTTTCTCACGCTGCTACTGAGGAACCTCTTCTGAAATCATACATCCCTACTAGGTGCCCAACTGTGGCTGACTTCAAGGTCGAGAATACGCCCATGGTACCGGGTCGATATGAAACCAGTTTCGAAGTACATATGTACAATTACGAACAACATCCCCGATAAAGTTAAAAAGGACTACAACTGGGTAGATAAACTCATAGTAGTTCCTACCCCTAAAGAATCAAACACCACCTACGTGGAGGATTTCTTAAGTGTTTACACTTACCCTTTCACGCTGGGTTCTCTAGACTCAGTTATCATAGCCTTTTGTAAAAGGTATGATGTGACGCTCGGGCAGATACATCCTTCATTTTGGAGGATCGTTATTCTACTTCGATTCTTTGTGAGCAAGGTCAAGGGATGTCCATTCACCATCAACTATCTCATGCGCATGTACAACCCTTGACTTTATCGAAGAGGATTAATTAAGCTTGAACGCCGAGCCACCAAGACCTTGTTCTAAAGTATCGACGAGGATCAGGACCGGGGCTGGTTTGATCGATTTGTTCGAGTGAGGACCTCGGACTTAATCTCAGCTGCGGACATGCCATTTCCTGAGAAATGGAACATGAAACGTAAGTTTAGATTTGCCTTCGGTATTTCTTTTGTTTCTTTTCATTCCGTTGGTTTCTCATAGATATTATGTGATGCAGCTGTCGCCCAAATACTGAACCCTGTCCCTGAACTTAAAGAGTGGGTCGAGGGCATCGTGACGCAGAGGTATTACTCCGAGCGCTTATGGTATGAACTCTCGAAGGGCCGATAGGAGGCCTATAATCACGGTAAGAATTTTGTTTTCTAATAATATATCTGATCTTTATTTTTCATTATCGGTCTCTGATCCGTTATATTTTCATTTTGCAGGTTTACCAAAGGATGTCAAGATGAGGCCTCCATCAGCTGACGATGATATACATGCCGATCCCCATGTTTCGAAACATGACGAAGAGAAGAAGAAAATAAAAGCTCAAAGTCCCTAGGACCCTGAAAAGAAAAGATCGAGGAAGCGGCTGACGCGCAAAACCAAAGATGCCAGTGGCTGACAGATCCCATCGGACATACTCTTTCAGTTGAGGGATGAGTCCGAAGAAGAAGAAGAAGATTCCAATCTGGTGGCCCGCGTGAGAAGTGGTTTTGAACTGCCTCAGACCATGGAGGTCGTCGAAGAAGTAGCGACCGAAGCCTCCGAACCAGGGAGGGCCGAGGCCGTTTCGCCCCCAGTTGTCAAAAATGACAAAGGGAATTTGGCCGGTACTTCCCGATCAGAAGATAATATGCCTAAGGAGGCTCTTGGGGTGATCGACCTCTCTGGGTTGCCTTCGTTTACCGATTGAATGATAAACAAGGCCCAGACACTGAAAGGTAACCTCGGCGAAGGGGCCCAAGGATTCTACCACCTCAGAGGATATTACCGAGTTGGGCGACTTATCGGTACCATAAAAGACATCATCCCCGGGAGCCGGCGGGTCCTATTTGAGCCCCAAATTAGTGAATCAGTTCCCAGCCCCGAGTGTTGATCCTACTCGGAGACGGGCAATTTATATGTCCATCCCGGAGGATGCCCGGGTTCTTTCTTCCCCGGTGGGAATTTGTAGTTACCTTCGGTGCTTGGTGACCGAAGAGGATCAAACCAAAATGAACGAGGTAGAGGCACCCTACCTATTCGACGAAGCTCAACAGGCGCTGAATCGGGTAATTTCAAATGTCCCTTCATTATGTATTTAGCTTTAATCATGAATAATCATAACAATTTTTTTTTTGTGTTTATAGGCCTCTGTACTTCATCATGAGGCCTTTCTTCGATACTGGGAGGAGTCAAAGCGTTACGAGGTTGAGGCCCAGGAGCTTGCTGAAAAGAGGGACGCTTACAAGCTCCGTAGTGAAATATTCCAAGCTGAGCTAGAAGC